GTTGCTCCTCCTCCTCCTGCTCCTCCAACTACTATTGCTATGAGTATTAGTACGTGTAAACGCACCCTTGACGCGTAATCGGATCAGGCCATGGCATTCATCAATACTGCCTACTCGATTATCGCCATCGCAATGCCCGAAGCTTAGTCAACTGGGCTCTGAAGTGCTGTAGAACTAAACCATTGTGTTGTTATGTTTTGTTGCTATTATCTTCGCAGCTTGTATCCTTACGTGATGGGCTGTCCGGGGTCCGGGACTCAGGTGATCTGCAGCTTACGGGTTTGAAGGTTTGGATCCACAGACTGCGGGGTTCCTAGTTTGGGGTTTTGCGTTATGTAATGTAGGGGCCTTAATAATTTGATTAGGGTTTGGGTGTTCATTATAAGTACAATTATTATACGGAACCCGCCAAAATAATACAGGTTGTTTTGAGGCCCCGATATCATGGTTTCGGTACGCTTCCCCGTTCGGGTTGCCATAAACATCCGCAGAGCCACCTTTATCATCCAAGTGGCTCCTTGGTTTGGAGTTGTTGCGGTTGGACTGGGCCTTTGTTTCGTTGAGCTTTCGGCATTAGGTTCGGCAGTTCAGGTTTTGGGAACTGCAGGCATGGCAGGTACACCTGCGGGGTTTGGGGGTTCTTGATTTGATCAGGGCTTGGGCTAAAACGCAGAACTTTCACGCACTCTAAAGTTCTAAAGGCTTGGGTTCTGCAACGGTTGCCGGGATTCGATGTTCACGCCTCAGCGATTCCTTTTATCCCTACAGCCGTAAACCTGCGCCCCACGAAGCTTTCGAGAATCTTGGCTCCTCACCTTCTACTCCAAACCCTACATGGAGCCTTGAGTTAGACTCCGCACGTTTGTAGTGACCAGAAGGGATAGTTGTGATCCATGATTATGTTCAGGGATCCTGGCCCAACACAACCCCTCAGCACCAAACGCTACGTCCGAAAGCCCATCTAGACCGAAGTCTGCCTCCAGTCGTCTTCCCCTGAAGCTCGCGGACCGAGGGTTCGGCCTGCATTGACATGAACAGGGTAAAGGGTCAAGGGCTCTCGGGTTCTGAGGTTCGGTTTGCGGGTTGCAAATGTCGGGCTTCCCAAAAGTTTGCGACGTCGATGTCGATGGGACCTACAGAAACAAGCCGGGCATGGCGGCTTTTGACTTCTGGCCACCAGCGTTTAGATTTCATCAAACCCTAAACCTTATGAACCCTACCCTAAACACAGCCCTGAATCCCATTCTTTTCGATTTTTGTATGCATGTGGCAGGGCGATCTTCTGCGGAGCCACTCAGCTACCTGGCTGCATTCCGGAGTTCTTCTAAGAGGTTTGAGTTGAGGGTTGAACGCTCAGAAGGGAGAAGGCAGGGGAAGCATTAATTTGTATTGCTGTTCCAGTATCATCATCTGCATCATCATCCGGACTTTTGGGCCAGGGCGTTGGGTCAGAAATCTAGTTTCGTTTGCCAAAATGCAATATCAAAAGCCTAAGCTCGGAGCCCCAAGTCCTGACCAAACAAAAGTTGAGCCGGAAGCTACGCCAAACCCCGTGGAAGGTCGCTGGATTGGCGTCTCGACGCACTTCTGTGGTGCGGTTTGCCGCCACTCCTTGCAATCGCGGTGTGTCTCCTGGCAGGGCGTTTGTTGGTTTAGGGACTGTTTGGGGTGTGACGGGGATTGGAAACCTGAAGCACGAGAGACAGAGCGCCCCTCACCTGGTGAAGCCGAAAGCACCAAAGACCCTATGGGTTGTCGGTTTACCTAGGGGCTTGGGTTTCCAAAAGTGATGGACCCTTAAACCCTGAAATCCCTGAAATCCCTACTGGCAGCCCTCAAACACCTGCACCCTAAAACTCCTTTTTCTCCTACATTTCGAGCATATCCAGCGCCAAAATTGTCCGTTTGGACTCCGACTTCTTTCGGTCCACGAGGCTTTCAGGCGCCAGTGGAACTGCTCCGCTCTCTCCCAGCAGCGGCATCCAAGCGCAGTGCACAGAAGTCGGATGCAAGGCTTGGTTAGTCCGGGCTTTAGAGGTGAAAACAGGGCGCAGGGGTTGGGGTTCACGACTTTTGCCGTTTGGATTTAGTTTCTGAGGTTTTCGTGCTGGCTTTAATTGGGCCTTGGGAGTTGTAGTTTATGCTACTGACTTCATTGTTTGAGTTTAAGTGTTTAGGGTTCTGGGCTTTGGGTTTGGAGTTTAAGGTTTGTGGATTGGGGATGAGAAGGGGTGTGTTCCTGAAATTTAGGTTTCTTTTTGATTGAGGATCTTAAGAGTAATGACTCTGTGACAGACAGGCTGTCTATGAACTGAGGCCCCATAGACTATGTTCTGAGATTCCCAGCTGTGGCAAGTCCCAAGTTTTTCGGATCCCAGAGAGCCCGAAGAAGACGCCAGGACAGGGTTCAAGGGTTTTCGTCGGTTTAGCGGTTTAACGATTTCGGGTTCAGGTGTTTCAAGTTGTGTGTTTGTGTCGGGCCTCATGGGTTTAAGGATTGTGGAGGTGACGTTGTTTAAGGGTTCGCGGGATGCTTGAGCTTCGGAATGCAAGCCTTCTCATTTCGCAAGAAGATGACGAACGGCTCCGAGTTTTAGGCGTTGGGACGCCCCAGGCCCTGTTTAGGGCCACCGGGCCTAGTCCAGGTACAAGTTCGACCGACAGCCCGAGATCCGAAGTTTTTTTTGTTGGTTTGATTCTTGACAGCCTTGCCTCATGGCGCATAGGCATCCCTGGCCCACCGAGGAATCCAGTGGAATGTCCGGCCCAGAAATCTCAGGCTTCCTGTGCTTTAGGGGTTAGGGTTGAGGATGCCCTAAAATACACCGTTGACAATACAATGGGCTTTCGTGATGCCTTACAAGATGTTGGGTTTGCGATTATGGAAACACACCCCGAAAAGCAGATGCTACTTAGTTCGATCCACCTGCCAAGCCCACCGCTCTCCTGGTCCAACAGTTCAGGCTTGTGGCTCAGGGGCTACAGGGATTAGAGTAGTTCCGGACATGGGGGTCTTTGAAGATCTGAGGCTTAACCCTAAACCCTGAAGGTGCAATCAAGCTGGCGACGTGCTTTCTGGCTTGTGGCTGTGGCTCCTATGGTCTCAGCTACTCTGCAGGAAAGCTGTCCGAGAACCTCTACACCAACTCTGTGTTGCTGACTCTTGCCACAAGTACAGTTTTTGAGCTTCGGGTTTTGGCTGCGTGGTCGAGGCAGAGCTACAAGGACTGGAGGACCCTGAGGTTTCGAGACTAAGGGCCGAATTTGAGGACCTATGCCTCCGACTTGTGTAGGTTATAAAGTTGAGGGCTAAGGGTTCAAGATTTCCGGGTAGGGCTTCCAGGGTTTAGGGCTTCGCTCTGAGAATGGAAGAACATGTCCCAAAGCATAGTAAGGAACTGCAGGTAGGTTGAGCCTGACGATGCAGAAGTTAAGGACGTAAGAAGGGATGCGGGAAACCGAAGGAACCGGGAACGACGGGAACGACAACCATGTATCACAGACTGCATTTGTGGGCGGAGGATCCTAAGCCGTCACAACAAGGAGTGCTACTTTCATTCTCTCCGGAAAGGGTCCATCAACGTCCTAGATGAGCCTTGACCCTCCCCTCAAGTCCCACCCCGGAACATCCGTCTTCAGTCTCAACAAGGAACGGCGCTGATATCCTGGGCTATGTGGCAGTGCTTGGGGCTGACGTCCTGGGCCGGAAAGCTTTCCAAAGCAGTAGCTTTTTCTTGGCCGCCGTGCTCTCCGGCTTATTCCAGCTCCCTCAGGGTTTATACGGGTATGGCGTGTTTAAGATGTTCCGCTTAGAGATCCCAATCCCCCGTCACGGAACCACATACTTAGAATCGGATTGAGGCCGGGGGGCAGTAGTCGTGGCGCAGTCGTCACCTGCATAACTCGCCACAGGTACACAAACACAACCTTGCTGTGAAAACACATGTAGGACGATGTCAATCGGCCAGCTATGTGCGACACCTGCTGAAAGTTATGATAAGGAAAATCATATCAGCAGCACCGTCAGCAACATCATCATCCTCATCCATCACCAGCATATCTTCTGCGAAAAGCAAGACTCTAGACTCTGAACAACTGCATTGCTTACCCAGCTTGTGCGCAAAGCCTGTCGCTTTTATTCATCTGGGCGGCAATTGGTTGTTGATGTCGAATGTGCCTTGCTTGTCATGACCCTGATTTCGTTCTTTGATTGATGGGATATGAAGGGCGATGCCAGCACAGCCAAACTCCAATCCCCACAGCGGCTTGACACGGCCTCTGAACACCGCGTTAAATCAGACCCCAAACTCCTGCTGGTCAGATTAACTTTGGAGAGCCTTCGGCTTTAGGTTTGACTTCTTGCATCATAATTAGGATTCAGGGTGTCGGGATGAACGGTGTATGGTTTGGGAAGTGCTCCGTGCTAAAACCTAGGTTCAATACCCCGGACCAATACCCCGGACAATCGCTCAAGCATCAACAGAAGGCCGGGTACCTAACTTAAATCAACACCCAGCATGAGCCCTGAAATATCAGAGACGCCGTCAAGCACAACCAGCAAGCCTAAAGCCTGGGCCACGGTTGCGCGAAAGTTTTTGGTCCTCCTCCAAGCCGTGCAACAGAATGCAAGGCCTAATGGTAATCTAAAGAATATCACCACAACCATCGTAGTCAGAAGTAGTAGAGGCCGCAAGACTTGAGCGTTGGCCCAGATGCTTGCTCTTCTGCGCAGTGCTGCAACCCGGCTGGAACCTCATCGCCTGCGCGATGGTGGGGCGGATCTGCCTCAATGTCTGTTTCACGACTATCTATGCTGCCCGACTGCAGTAGCCTCAGGGCTTGTATTTCGAGCATCCCTGATGTGCGGAGCCTCTTCCTGCTACCTGGCAATTGGAGGTAGCACTGGCCACGGTCTTCCCGGAATCGAGCCAGAAGAATGTGCTTCCACTCTGCCAGGCCAGGAAGAAACTTACAGGTTCATGGTTTTTCGCGGTCTCACAGGTAGTCTTCTGGCGGTTGTGCTATGGTGTTTTGGAGGTGAAGTTTCATTCTTGTGCTTTGCAGCCGATGATGCTGTCATGCGATACGATATCATCATCATCATCATCATCATCATCATCATGATCTGTCACGTCGGTGGTGTGCATGTGTGTCCTGTGTTTTTGATGTTTGCTGGTGCTGTCTTTTCTTTTGGTGATATCTGAATTGGGAGCCCACATACTAGGATACTAAGTTCCATCAAATCTTAAGCCGATTTCAGTATTCCGGCCCTGTACGGCATGCGCGGTTCAGGTTTATCTTCAACTAGTCTTAGACGGTCCACGGTTGAGGGTTCAATTTCAGATGTATATTTCGAAGTGTAGTAAGGGCCGGATCTTGGAGGCTTATACACACGTTCAGTAGTGATTAGAGTTTGGGCAGCAGTGCAAGTTTAAGGCGAACGGTTTACATACCCAGAACCCTACATCCTATTCCCCAACGCTGAGTGGCAAACAGACAGGTCTGAG